CTATCAGCACAAGTCGGGTTCACTAGTAAATGCTGGCCAATCGCTGATTCACATTTTGTTGGTAGAACTTTTGTTTTACAGAAGCGACATGATAAATTATTTTCTTTCACACTCTTAGTTCTTATGGATTTGGGTACACGTTGTTTAATTCTATTCTGCGGTCTTTGTGAAGTGCGACCTACGTACAGAGTAGTTCAGTTTTAACTAAAATCAGAGAGCAAATCTAATGAGTTGTTAATATCTTTATACAGTTGATTTTTTCTGGGGTGGCCTTATTGCTAGTGCCCAGAATGTGAATCCGAGGATTTATGGTTCACGCTCATCGTTTTTTGTTTGGGCAAGAGTAGCCCAAGAACTGTCGGCGGATGTTGTTTACTACCTACTTTCCCTCTGGTTTATCAGTTGAAACTTAAGGGCAGCTTTGCACGAAATTCTGAAACAATCAAAAACTAATTATATTTTTGATATAACCATAAATATTTCTAAATAAAATTAGAAAAAAAAGGGGCACGGGCTTCTCCTGTGGTGGAGCTCCGAATTTCGGAGCTAATGATTTGGGTTCGAAACCGTACATTCGTGTGATGCCAAAAACATATTTCCCACACTTTAAGCTGTGCGTTATTAGAGTAACAGTAACTATTAGTGTGGATGACGTTGGAGGTCGGTGCTGACTGGCTGCCTTCTCTCTCTTTAGTCAGTAGTTCCAAATTAGTGACAGCGGCAGATAGCCTCAGTACCTTTGCCATAAATACAAATACAAATATATAGAAAAATTTTGTATAGTTTCAGTGTTAATTCTAACTCGCATTGTAAACATAAGAGGCTGTTTGAAAAAAAAAGACTATTTACTATTTTAAAATTAAAGGTAATAATACGAGAGGACCCTTAATTAGGTGAAACCGATGTAATATTATCACATACGTAAAATAATCAAATAGCTTAGATGTTTACTTGTTATACCCATAACTCAAGAAACGTCCTAAAAACTCAGGTTTCCCATTCACTGGATTATTTTGCAATAGTCTTTACGCAATCTAACACACCACACAAATGTTGAATGAGTTAATCGAGATGAAGAACCAAGAATCCATGGCGAACTTAATTTTTCCACTCATGAATCTTACGATAAAAACGATTGTATTCATTTTCTTTCGTCGTTACGTGCTGCTATGGTGATATTCGTTGCTAAGGTTATCGGTCCTATTTATCAAAAAGTATAGAATCGGCTGTCATCAAAAGTTTTTGCTTAGTTCATTTTCCAGCTGATCGTACCCACCATCACAATATATAAAAATGATATGTGATCGACGTTGTTAGCGTGAGCACAAGTTGCAATTGAGCATGCGCAATAAATCACGTTAAAGACGTTTGCTATAAGAACTGTTTCTATACCTAAACAACCATGCACAACATTGAAAAGACGTATCTGACATTAATCTCTGATGCCTGACCTACATTCTCTCGTCATTCTAATATCCTTCTAAGCTATTCGCTTATTTTTTTTTTTACAAAGACAGTAGATTTCACCCCTGTCAATCTAGAAGTTTATGTGTAGTAAAAACACTATTAAAGACTAGCTGAAGTAATTGAGAAGCCTAATAATTTTTAACAGGCTCCCCTTCTCCAGCATTTGACAGGTGTTACCCAATGCGTAACAAATGACCAGTTGCTTTCCTCGGCCTTTCTCCTGACCATTCAATAAATTGAAACCTATTTTTCATGGCTATGGCGAAGTTTACAATATAATCATAGTCTATTAACAATGTTTTTTTTTCAACTCTCTGAAACAAATTGTACATCGTGTTCATCCATGTGTGAATATTAAGAGTTAGGTGAAATTAATTTTGATAGCGACCTACACGGGGGGTACAAAAAGCTGACGCACTTCTTTTGTTAACATAATGCGTGAACTTTGCCCCTAATTGTTTGTTTGTAATTAAGCACAAAGCTACACAATGGGCTATCTATGCTCTGTCCACCACGGGTATCGAAACCCGGATTCTAGCGTTGTAAATCCGCAGACATACCGATGTGCCACTGGGGGGCTTTGCCCCTGAAAAAGAAAGTTTCATCTTTCGGAAGCACTCGGGTTATAGGGTTTTTATTCATTTCTATAACACTTCTTGATCATCATGAATGATGCGTAAACTGTCTGCTTTATAGAGTATCTTTTTGGCGAAGTTCAAGGGTTTCTAGATTTGTACGTTTACTATTGATTTCTATGAAGAGATTAAGAATATTTTGTAACTTCGCTCTGATAATGAACGAGAATTTGTTAAAGAAACAAAAGAAAGCCCAAAGAAAGTTGTTGGATTTTTTTTTAGCACAGAGCTACACATTGAGTTATTTGCGTTGTCTCAAACGCGGTAAATCAAACTCCAGCTTTGCGTTTTAGGTCCAGAAAATGACCGTCGACCCAACGGAAAACCTGAGGAAAGTAACTGATCATTTGTTACGCAGGTACGCGTCAGGTGGTGGAGAAGGGGAGCGATCCACAAAACTCTCGAGCTGTTCAGTTACTTTAAAGTCAGAGGCGTTTCATAATAGCGCTTCAGATCTATATTCCATCTCTTATGAGTCACCGCCAGAGCTGCCATTTCTATTTGTAAGTTAGGTCGTACGATGAGGAATAAAATATCCTCTGAAATGCTATTTTTATCATAAGTTTTGGGCCTATTGGTTTCAGTGTTTGAACCACAACTTTTAAAGTATTATAGTGCATATATAAATTACATTTCGAGAGCATTTTGTCTCTCATCGTCCAGCCCAACTAACGAGTTCTAGTATTGATGGAAAGGCCTTTTGGGGCGATGACTTGTGGAAGAGAGAAGATAGATCCGAAATGCTATTTCTCCACGCTTCTGATTTTTAATTCGGAATGGAAAATTTATGAGGACTGGGGGAAAGCATCTGCAGTTTACGTGAAGATATATTAAACTTTATTTTGTTTTAGCTTCTTGAACAATATTACTTCCGGTAGGGGGAGGATAAATTAACCTAGGATATTATAAGTTCGCAGTGACGTTATGTGTACATAATTTCGAAGATCCAGAGAATTTGATCGTAGTTCATGACTTTCTGATGCCTGCATGCTCACCAGGGTCTCTGAATAAATTAGAAAGTATGTCTGCTGCTAATGAAACTTTATAAA